GTTTTTAGATATGGTATAGGTTTAAGTTACAACTTTATTACAATATTTTTAATTATTTGAAACTGTTTCAAAATAATATTTTCAAAAATGGCAGCTGTTGGCAAGTAGCTTGGGAGCGATTGTGGCGCACCACGCCATTATTGTCCTGAGGCCCCCTTATTGATGTCATCAAAAGTGGAGTGACATGGGCCTGATATTAGCGTCCTAATCTGAATACGCTCTTGTAGTGTCAGTGAGAGTTTGTGGTGAGGTGATGACTGGTGAGGTGACTTTTAGCTTTTGTCACTTGTCTGTTAGAGAATGCATGATTGAATCAAAGAATCTAAGCACGCCTTTCTAGGAAGCACACCTTGTTGACTGGTCTGTGGTACGTCAGACCGCTTCCAGTTCTTAGTTCCACCGAACGGACCCGGCCGTCCTCACCCGGCATGGTGCGCACGACGGTCGCCAGAGGCCAGTACCCACGTGGTGCCTGATTTTCCACCATTAGAACGACATCTCCAACTTGCAGATTATCTGACTCGCGTGCCCATTTTTCACGCCGCATCAGGGTCGGCAGGTATTCTTTTCTCCATCTTTGCCAGAAATGGTTTGCCAGCGATTGTGCAATGTGCATGTTTCCATCTTTTCTTGCTCAGAAGATCGGAGCCATCAAATATTCCTGGTGGCAGACACACTCCTGATGGGCCGAGCAGGAAGTGATTCGGAGTCAGAGGCTCTGAATCCTTTGCATCACCGCTGCAGTATGTAATCGGTTGACCGTTGAGAATGCTCTCAATTTCCGCCAGTGCAGTGTACAGAACTTGGTCTGTGACAACCTGTTCGCCTAAAATGACCCTCAGCCTTCGTTTTACAGATGCGACCAGGCGCTCCCATACGCCACCCATGTGGCTCGCCGTGGGGGGATTAAAATGCCACTCGATGATAAAATGCCACTTTCAATTTTTACAGAGATAACGAAATCAATGTTTGCTCTGTACTCTAGCAAGATTTGTTGTTCTTTTTCTGAAATGGCTTTGCCTTGAGTGGTTACCTGGCTTTTCAGTGAGAGACTTGAATTGGTTACCCACGGGTGTGGACGAGTTGGCGACTTTATGACCTCTGGCCAAGGTGTGGACTACACACTACACAGACCATGTCATTATCGATGTCCTGCTCAGCGGTACCCATGACCCCGACATTGCACGCGATGTGCTAGGGTCCGACTCACTCCTGTCCAAACCTGTGAACGATGTGATCGCCCTTGTTGAAGGGAAAGAGATGGCCAGGAACGCTCTGCCAAATGCGTCATTGTCTGCAGTGTCTTCGTTCCGCCGCCAGACTCACCCCACGCCAGCACCGCCAGGTTCTGACCGTCGTCCCCCTGATCGGACACAGCGGGCTCCCTGCCCGGGGTGCGGAAAGTCCTACGCCCTCTTCTCTGAAGGGGCTCGCGGCTGGAACACCAGGCCTCATCAGGTATGCCTGGACTGCTTTCGCCTTTAACGCCAGCAGAAGCCTCGCCCTCCGGTTCGCTCTGCAACTGCTTCATCCGTGCACGTAGGTGAAACAGATGCGCCTGTCGTGGCACAAGTCACCGCCACCCACACTGACAACGGGGAGCCGACACTCGATCACCATGTTTTCAGTGACGGAACATGGCGGAGGGCCAAGCTTCCGGCCCACCCCGAGTACGAGTGCAGATTCACACCGACGACTCTCCGGCGGGCGATGACCCCCCCCCCCCTCGTCCCATCAGCATCGACGCCGTGGCGGATTCTGGTGCGCAGTCAGATCTGCTGCCGCTGGAAGCATTCCTCGCTGCGGGTCTCCAGCGCAGTGGCCTTCGCCCTGTCACTTTGAGCGTGTCAGCGGCCAACCGCTCGTCAATCCAGATCGAGGGCGCTTTCCTCGCCCGAATTGTTGGTCGCTCACCCCGCGGGGATGCTGTCGAGTGCCGGTCCATGTCAGCAGTGCAGTCCGGGACATGTATCTATCCCACTCAACCATGCTGAGTCTGGGGATCGTCGGGGAGGACTTCCCCGCTGTGGGCATCGCTGATACCCAGCCTCACCGCGGCGACGTCTCGACTTGGGTCACCTGCGAGACTTCTTCCCTAAGTGCAACCCGGGAGCTTGGTGCTGGATGCGTCCACCCATCAGACTCCCACCTAAATTTAGAGACCACTGACACCTGTAAGAGGAGTCAGATGTACTGTGGGGTGTCAAAATTTTTATCAGTGTGCCCGTGGAAAACTCGGGATAGTCCCCCGGAGAACTCGAGATAGTGCCCCCGCGGACTTTGGGATGGAAATAAATGGACAATACTAAACTAAAAAACCCGATGCGAGAGACAGAAATGGGCCTCCGGGAGACCCCGAAAACGGTACCCTATTCCGATAGACCTTCTGGATGGTGCCCCCTTAGGAGACCTCTGGGTTGAAGCTCCCGTCGGTGACCTCCGTGATGAATTAAAAAAAAAACGTGATGGTGCCCCTGGGAGGCCCAAGGGGGGCCATGGCCCCCATGGCCCTCCTTCTGGATCCGCCACTGAAATGATCTGACCCAAGATCTGACCTAAAAACGACCAAAAGCCTTCCTTCATTGTCCGAAAACCACTGACAGTTGATAGCTCAATGACACTAGAGCCGTGCATAAGGAGGCGTGAAAACACCCTCCTCATCTCGATCTATTACGAGAGGACCATGTCATGGCGTGAGAAAGGTGTTCTCAAAATAGATGACACTGTATGCATGAGTAAATAATCCGCGCCCGTTGGGCTATTGGCGGACCCTACCACCTGATGGGGTGGTGCAGCTGTTTCGCCCTCCACCTGAGATCTCGGAAAGTTACCGACCGATTTTGAAAATTTAAAGAACGTTCGATAGCCCCACCAGGGAACTACCTTGTTCCAGGTTTCGTTGACCTAGGTGCAACCCATGACGTCACAACTCAGGTCAAAGGTCGCATTTTTTCACCGATTTAGTCTAAGGAATGCGGTACAGTCAGTTAACATATCAAATAAAAGGCATGCTATCGTAAAACATCGATGGAGCTTTGGTTGCCTAATACATATGCTACCTTAACGCCAACGCAAACGTCGCAAACAAAAACAATAAACAAACGCACGCCTGCCGCAAACCGCAAAAAAACGCAAAAACACTGCAAAAAATAAAACCGCCCGCGTCGCGCTCCCGCTAACCACCAACCGAAAACGCCTAAAAATCGCCCGCCCGCCGCCGAAAGCAAACACCGCATAAAAGAAACGAAAAAGCGGCCGCCAACTGCAAACGAATTTAACACCGCAAACGACGCAAAAAAACGCCCGCATCGCCCGCCCGCCCGCCGCCAAACACAAACACCTTAAAAAAAAACACAAAACGCTCTCCCGCCGCAAAACGCAAACACCGCAAATCGCGCAAAACGCTCGCCCGAAACGCCAACGCAACGACTGGCATACCGTTAGGATTCCAGAGATTCAGCAGCTTTTTGGTCATTTTCACAAATCGAAAAGAGATCTGCAAAAATCTCCTAGATGGAAGCGCCCAACTAAAAAACGGATGGCACGTGCCCCCGACTTCCTTCAGGTCAATCGTCATTGGGGTCACCTAACGCATTGACGACCGGCTGGGTGGACTAAACATTGTGCCAAGACATGTGGGTAATTGTCAAAGAGAATCCTAAGAATGGTAGATCCCAAAAGTTTGGAACTATCACTTTGACCCACTGAACGACACCTTAAACAGTTGCCGACCAGATGACACCCATTGTTTGGTCACCCACGCTATAGTCTGCTTCGCGGGTGTGCCGAAATGACCTAAAGTCGAAATTTCCGGTGTGCAGGGTCATTTTCAACCGCACGTGGCACGTGGTTCTGAATTTTTCCGGCCACTTTGCGACATACCCATTAGGGTGTGTCATTTTGGGCATTTTTTTTTCGCAAAACATGGTGCTCCACTGATATTATTGTGCCCCAGATACGTAGAAACCGTGTGGCATTTTTCATTTCCCCAAACATCAACACCCATGCGGCGCTGACCGCCGACACTTTGGCCTATCTCTCAGCATTAGCGACCTCAGCGCCCCTAGCGGCAATATGTTGAACTAACACGCTCGCTATGCTTTGTGAGCTTAGGATCATCATTAATTAAATGCATTCTACAGAACTGACGCCCTTGTTGGCTTGCCTAGCACTCGGAGCGTTGATGAAAATGTGATGGCATGCACCTTAAAGCACGAAATAGTCCTGTGTGAATGTATATTGTATAGTACTACCCCCGATCCCCGTCCTGGTCTGACGGGATACGTACGAGTAGGGGAGAGTGGGGCAAAGCGGCCACCCGGGGCAATGCGGCCACCCATCGTTTTAGCCCTTCGTAGCTGGCATCAGTTCCAATTTATGGTTTCCAATTATACTTCTCTTCACGGTCGTTCGAATGAGCCAGACCGGGGTTTCAGGCCCATCACCATTGTTCTGTGAAACACGGAATAGCATTTCTTGCCAGGTTACCAACTATGTTTACAATTTTCAAATGTTATGTTATTCCATAACCGTTTGGATTTTTTATAAGCGTTCTTGTCCATGCATTGCATGGTTATCGTACATGCATTCTACCAATTTTAATAGCAGGTGTTCTTAAATCGATGCTGAATCAGCAGAGACCATTCACATGCAAGAGAACTACCTTGTGCTGATGTAAGATGTTAATATAAAAACAGACATGTAGGTCCATAAAAGGGAGGAGAAATCCTTCCTCGTTGCATCAATGTTGATGGGGTGGCGCCCACTCGGCTCTCAGTTGGAGGGGGAGGGGTAAGCGCCCCCGCTGCCCCCCCCCCCTGTTCCCGGGGCCTATGCAGTGAACGACGCTACAAAAAAAAAACATGTGACACCTAATAGTAGGTAGGGTAAGGTGCCTTATTAGCGACCCTTTCCGATTTGCGACCTCCTGTTCCTAAAGGGTCTGTTCTCCGAGAAACTGAACTCTGAGATACTCTTATCCCGATTCCCCTTACGCGTGCCTATCCGACCGACGCGCACTGCAGCACTGTTTGCTGAGAGTCGCGCCCGAATCAGCACGGTCCAGAACGGGTTGGTCTGTCGTGTCGCGAGAGAGACAAACTCATTCCTCGCTCATTCCAAAGACGATTTTTTCACGACCAGTTTTTTTGTGTACAAAGCTCATGTTATCAAATACGTTGCGAACTTACCACCACCTCCGGGCTACTAGTCACTGTTGGTAGGTGATTCTTATTGATTTTATATTTTTATGATTTTAAATATGTCTATTTTTAATGTTTTCTTATATTTTTCATTTCACTTTATACTGTTTTACGTATCACTGATGTTAGTTGTCGGACTTTCGTCCCCGTCTTGAGTTGAGATGTTAGTTTCACAACGTTTCGGCCAGTTACTTCTCCGGCCGTCGTCAGGTGTTCTTTGGCCCTTAGAAGGACCTGGATGTTGGTGGCGTTGCGCCGTACGCGTCATACCGTTCGAAAGCTCCTGTAGTCAGCGGGAATCGAGCTCGTGTTTCCCCGGTGATAGTCCATGGTTCTAACCACTCCACTATCGAGGCAGACATCGTTATGGAGCTGGAAACTTGGTGTCATTTATCCCCCAGATGTTTTTGTGATTTCCTTAGTAGTGGGAGCCATATTGGGCTGATGTCAACGCTTGGCTTGCTGATGGGGTTGCTAGCCAGCGCCATGTGTGCGGCTTCCTTGATTTTTCTGATTTTCCAGTGTGGCTCCTTGTCGATGATGGTGGTATCATCCCAAGCAGGTCTGTGATCTCCTTCAGACCATGCATGCTCCGCCACACCGGATTTCAGTGTTTCGCCTCGGATGGTGGCCTTCCTGTGTTCTTCGAGCCTGACCGCCAGTGGGCGGCCAGTCTCGCCCTTGTATGACCTGCCGCAGCTGCACGGGATGTCGTATATGCAGTTCTTTGTTTTCTCCTTGGTGGTTGGCGGTCTGACCTTTGTGAGTGACCTGCGGAGGGTGGTGGTACTTCTGAACACCGTCCTGATGTTGTATGCTCCGCAGATTCGCCTTAGCTTCTCTGACAGTCCTCTGTTGTATGGGAGGGATACTGTCGCGATGGGCTTATCCCTTGGTTGTTGTTGGGATGCTTCCTTGGGTTTGTGTTTCATGAAGCTCGTTGGGTATCCGTTTCTCCTGAAGGTGCTGGTAAGGCGTGACATTTCCATCTTACTGGCTGCTTCGTCTCCACAGATGTTGGTGGCTCGGGTCTGCAGGCATCTTACGATACCGTTTCTCCTGAAGGTGCTGGTAAGGCGTGACATTTCCATCTTACTGGCTGCTTCGTCTCCACAGATGTTGGTGGCTCGGGTCTGCAGGCATCTTACGATACCTTTCTTGACTGTGTCTGGGTGGTGTGACTTGAAGTTGAGGTAGCGGTCGGTCGCTGTTGGTTTGCGGTAGACCGATGTTCTGAATGCTTCCTCAGATTTCTCCACTTGGACGTCAAGGAATGGTAGTTTGTTGTCGACTTCTGTTTCCATTGTGAATTGGATGGAGGGTCGGAGGCTGTTGAGGTGGTCTAGGAACGGTGTTATGTCCTCGCGATGGTCCCACAGGACGAATGTGTCGTCGACATATCGCAGCCACAGGGATGGTTTCAGTGGTGCTGTTTGTAAGGCCAGTTCCTCGAAGTGTTCCATGTAGATGTTTGCGATCACCGGTGACAGGGGTGAACCCATGGCCATTCCTTCAGTTTGTTGGTAGTAGTCATCGCCCAGTTGGAAGGCGGTGGTGGTGGCACAGAATGTCAGGAGTTCCATGATGTCATCAGTCGGGATTGTCGTTCTTTCGGGCAGTGTATCGTCGCTCTCCAGTCTTGTCCTCACTATGTTCAGAGCTTCGGTAGTGGGCACATTGGTGAACAGACTCACCACATCGAAGCTTACCATTTGCATGTTCGGCGAAGGTCGCATGGCCTGAACCAGTGAGACGAAGTGGGCTGAGTTCTTGACATATGTAGGTGTTTTGCCACTCAGTGGGTTGATGATCTTGACGAGGAACTGGCTCAGAGGATGGCAGGCTGAGCCACGGCAGCTTACTATTGGTCTTAGCGGTACATTGGTCTTGTGTACCTTTGGCAGCCCGTACATGTGTGGAAGTTTGCTGTGATGTTGGCTCAGCTTTCTGTACTGGGCGTCCGTCTACCGTCGTCGGTCTACCGCAAACCAACAGCGACCGACCGCTACCTCAACTTCAAGTCACACCACCCAGACACAGTCAAGAAAGGTATCGTAAGATGCCTGCAGACCCGAGCCACCAACATCTGTGGAGACGAAGCAGCCAGAAAGATGGAAATGTCACGCCTTACCAGCACCTTCAGGAGAAACGGATACCCAACGAGCTTCATGAAACACAAACCCAAGGAAGCATCCCAACAACAACCAAGGGATAAGCCCATCGCGACAGTATCCCTCCCATACAACAGAGGACTGTCAGAGAAGCTAAGGCGAATCTGCGGAGCATACAACATCAGGACGGTGTTCAGAAGTACCACCACCCTCCGCAGGTCACTCACAAAGGTCAGACCGCCAACCACCAAGGAGAAAACAAAGAACTGCTGTCGACGCGATGTCCTCTGGTTTTTTTCACATTCGCTCGCGACACTGATGTGTTTGAGTAGGGCCGACCAGAATAGATAGCCAGGCTTTAACAGGATGGCGAGGAAATCAACGGTCACTACCCGATTCAGTCCCTTGATGGCAAGGCAACTGAATACAGGCAGATCCCTAGGATACTCCGGTGCCTTGCTGGCAAGGTACACCGGAGCTGACGGATTGCCCCCCTAGTATGAGGAATCCCGCACCCCGCGTCTCGAGGGCGAGACACGGGAAACGAGTATAAGCCAAGGCGCTCGGTGGCGAGTCACCTTGGCAGCATTCCTCACACACCCCGGAAAGGCAGTAGATGAGAATAAGCCCCAGGTAAAGGAATCAAGGAATATACTGATATTGTCCACAGACGGCTGGCTTGCACCTCGATTCAGCACTCACTCTTTCACTTCGTCACTCGCTCACCAACACCAATTTTCCACTGCTCTCGGTGTATATTTCCACAGATCCTCTTGCGACCAAATCCCGAGCCAGACTGCGTCACACATGTCGCCCCGGCCCGACATCACCTCGCCAGTGCCCGGGGCGAGGGTCACCAGCGACCAACCACCGGGGCGCTTACTCAGCGCCAGCTCGGCGCAGACACGGCCCCGGGCACCACGTGGCCCGGGCGTCTCCCGGGACCACGCTTGCGTCATCATGCAGCGGCTGGTGCCAACATTCCCCCGCACCGTGTGGCCCCACTGGGCAACACTAACAATCAGTCACCGGCAAGCTGCATGGCGATCCCAACATTATTCGCTCACACAGTAGTGTCCACACTTTTCCCAATCATGCTGTTCCTGGGTAACAGATAAAACACAAGGATGAATGAAGAAACATTTGTTAAACACAACGACCTTTATCGGCACCGTAACGCGTCCCTGAGGTCATGCCACTCGTATGAGCCAATGAAACGGCCTCAGCGCAGCCACGTGACCGAACACGCTGCTGCCATACGTGCCGCCCGCGCAGAAGCAGCCGCGGAGGCCGCCGCCCGCGCCGAAGCAGCCGCGGAGGCCGCCGCCCGCGCCGAAGCAGCCGCGGAGGCCGCCACCGCCCGCAGCGAAGCAGCAGAGATGGTCGCCGCCGCCCGCGCCGAAGCAGCCGCGGAGGCAGCCACCGTCCGCAGCGAAGCATCAGAGATGATCGCCGCCGCCCGCGCTGAGGCCGCCACCGCCCGCAGCGAAGCAGCAGCGACGGTCGCCGCCGCCCGCGCCGAGGCGGCAGAGATGGTCGCCGCCGCCCGCGCCGAGGCAGCCGCCGCCAGAGACGGAGCCACGGGAGCGGCCGCCGACGCTGCTCCGCCGACCTTGGTCCGCCAGTGTCTGGAAGCGATCGGAGAGAGCCGCATAAACTCTGTCATTCGCCGCAAGGCAGTGTACCTGCTTGGTCGCTTTTATAAATAAAGAACATGAGTCCTCCTGTATGTTTGTTTATTACGTGTGCGATGATTCTCGGGTTGACACAGCCCAAGCTGAAGTTGGATCCCAGCCCCTCGGTGGCGAGGCCACTGGGATCCCGGGTAAGCCGATAATTCGGCTCCTCAGTGGTGAGGTTAATCTTGCGTGACGCATACCTTCAGTTTACTTGCAGTCTTCCTCTAGAAAGCATATTTTTACTGCAGGTCTGGTGTACGTTTTCCCACTTGCGGTTTTCAGTACCGCTGACCTCACTCTTCCGTCTCTTCCTGGAAACACTTGAATGACCCGCGCTAGCGGCCATAAGCCCCTGGTCAGATTAGAATCTGCCATCAGCACCAAGTCACCCACTTGTAGGTTTCTTGTGTCTTGGCGCCATTTACTGCGACTGGTCAGGGTTGGGAGGTACTCTCGAGTCCATCTTTTCCACACCTGTTCAGCTACCACCTGGGACTGTCTCCACCTGCGACGACTACACACATCACGGTCTCTTGTCATCATCGGCGCGAGATGCGGTGAGGCATGACCCAACAGAAAATGGTTGGGTGTCAAAGCCTCAGGATCTGTTGGGTCAGAGCTGACGTAAGTCAGCGGCCGACTATTCACCATATGCTCAACTTCGGTAAAAACAGTCAGAAGCACTTCATCGGTAAGCACTTGAGAACCAACCACAGCTTGCAGACAGGTTTTGACGGACCTTACCATCCTCTCCCATACCCCACCCATGTGGCTGGCGGCTGGTGGGTTGAACTTCCAGTCTATTTCGAATGCGGTCAGCTTCTCTGGCAGCAGTGCCATCATCAGCTGTAATTCCCGTCGGAGCTCACGGTTGCTCCCAATGAAGTTTGTTCCTCGGTCCGAAAACATGACTGCTGGCTGAGACCGCCTCGCGAAGAAGCGCCTTAGAGCCATGATGCAAATGTCCGTGTCCAAAGAGTGTGCTACTTCTAAATGTACAGCACGGGTGGCCATACACGTCACCAGTAGACCATATCTCTTCTCTGTTCTCCTGAAGCGCTTCACTTGCAGCGGCCCGAAAAAATCTATGCCAGCATTCTTGAAAGGGCGACCAGCTTCCAGTCTTTCGCTAGGGAGTTCGGCCATTCTTGGTGGCATCGGTGTAGCTCTACGTCGGTGGCAAAATGAGCAGTTTCGCAGGTGCTTCTTCACAGCAGCACGTCCTTGAGGGATCCAGTATTTTTGACGTATTTCGTTGAGTGTGTGCTCTACACCTGCATGGCCGTGCTGGACGTGCTCACTCATGATGACTAGACGAGCCACTCCACTTCCCCGTGGCAGGATGATCGGATGCTTGGCTTCATCTGATGTAGCAGCCCTGTCCAGTCGCCCTCCCACTCGGATCAAACCACTAGCGTCGAGGATGGGAGTGAGTGAAAGCAGACTGCTAGAAGCCGGCAACGGCTGCTGGCATTCCAGACACCTCAGCTCCTCTGCGAAAGTAGTAGTCTGCGCTCTCGCGACGATCCAGACTTCTGCTTCTTTCACTTCAGACGTGGATAGTGGGCCCATCAGCTTTTCTGCTCGATCGGGCAGACATGCTTGCATGTTGCGCATGAAGCGTCTGGTCCAGCCGACGACTCTTTTGCACCTGGTCCAGGAGGAGAACCTATCTGGCGTCAGATAGTCTGGCGAAGGTCCAGTTACATTGCCGGCGAACACATGCTTTTGTTTTTCTTCCTTGTCACATGCTGGTGGTGCTGGTTCCTCTTGACGTGGCCAGTTCTCTTCATTGTCTCGCAGGAAATCTGGGCCTGTCAGCCAACGACAGTTGCTGATGAGTGGCAGTAGTGGGAGTCCCCTGGAGCAGTCATCTGTGGGGTTTAGCTTGCCAGGGACGTGGAGCCATCGCGCGTCTCGCGTTAGCTCGTGAATTTCTGCCAACCGGTTTGCCACAAAGGCTTTGTATCTCCGGGTCTCGTTCACGAGATAATGTTGTATCACTTTGCTATCAGTCCAGCAGATGACGTCATCCGGCTGCTCCGTCAGTTCTTTCAAAATGGCGGCTGACAAGCGCGAACCAAGAACTGCTGCCTGAAGTTCCAATCTGACGATTGATAGCTGCTTGAGCGGTGCTACCCGACACTTGCCCATCAGAAAGCGGCAGTGATGCGTGCCGTCCCTCGCCGTTGTTCTCCAGTAAGTCACTGCCCCAAAGGCATCTTCGGACGCGTCGCAAAACACGTGAAGCTCGCGACGCACTGTGTTTTCCCCTTCCGGTGTCAAGCAGCGTTGGATCATGACTTCATCCAATTTCTCTGATTCGTTAAGCCACTGAACCCACAAACTGAGTTCTGGTTCGGGCAGCTGCTCGTCCCACTCCAAGTGCTTGCACCACAGACGCTGCATCATCATCTTCGCTCGGATAGTGAAAGGGGCAGCGATCCCCAGAGGGTCAAATATCGCTGACAATTTGGAGAGAGCTCCCCGTTTGGTGACGACTGTCTCCTGTTCCCTCATGCGAAACCCCAATGTGTCTTTCACTTCATCCCACACGACCCCTAGGGCCTTCTCTGACGTGCATGAGCTTCTCAGGCAAAGGCTGGTCGAAACGGGGGCTTTGTCACTTTCTGAGATGCCTTCGAGCGCTTCAGGCGTGTTGCTACGCCACTTTGTGAGATGGAATCCCCCCTTCTTCAGCGCCTCCGATAACTTGGTACACAGCTCCTGAGCGTCAGTCGCGTTTAAGCTTGAGAACAGGCAGTCGTCCATGTAGAAACTCCGAGCCAGCTGGTTTCCCGCGATGCTCGGGGTTGGATCAGTCCAGTGATCCTGTAATGCTCTTCGAAGGACGTAGCTGGCGACCGCAGGCGACGATTTTGCTCCAAAAATGACCACCTGCATTTGATATACATCAGGCTTGCGCTGTTGCTCCATGTCTCGCCATAAGAAGCTGCATGCCGGTTGGTCTTCTTCTCGTATCCTCACTTGATGATACATCTGTCTGATGTCTGCTGTGACTGCCACTTGACCCTCTCGGAATCGGAGAAGCACACCGGGGAGACTCTGAAGCAAATCGGGTCCAGTGATGAGTTTGCTATTCAAGGAAGTCCCACGGTACGTCGCCGCTGCGTCAAAAACGACGCGAATATTCCCTGGTTTGTTGGGGTTTACAACCGCATGGTGTGGTAAGAACCATCGGTTTTCCTTTGTTGCTTGAAGTTCTTCCGCTGATAATTTTCTGGCATGCCCATCAGCCACGTAGCCGTCGATGATGTTTTGGTATTTGATCGCCATTTCTGGCTCCTTTTCCAGTTTCCTTTCCGTGCACTCTAGGCGATGGCACGCCTGCGTCCAGTTGTTTGGAAACGTCGGGTCTTCTTCCGCCCATAACAGTCCCGACTCGTACCTGTCCTTTACCAGCCTTGTGCGTTCTTGCAGGATTTTTGCGGCACGGAGGTCCTCCAAGGATCTGGCATCCGAGTCGTTGACTCTGGTCCCGAACGCTTCCGTTGCCCACCATTCTTGAACCATGTCATGCAGGTTGTTTTCTTCATTACCTTGTCGGTGTATGAACATAACCTGACGACTTGCGCTGGGTACCAGAGCCGTTATAGAGCCAGTCAACGCCCAGCCGAAATCCGTCCGTACTGCTACGGGCTGTCCAGGTCCTCCCACCCTAGCCTCCTTTTGCAACACAGCTTCTAGAACATTAGCCCCAATGAGAAGCTCCACATTGGCGCCGCTGTACTGTTGGATGTCCAGATCATGAAGATGTTTCCACTTGTGCATCTGTCGACTGCTTACACTCGGTGCCGAAACATTGAGTTTCGACACAGACCACACTTCTGGGATCACTATGTGATCTCTTCCAGCATCTGAGCTCAGAGGACTGACCGTCAGTTGAGTACGAAGGGACGACCGTTTGCGACCTGGTCCTTCAACGTTGTGAAGTTTCAAGTCTTCCCGAGAGCCACAGACTCCAACCTCTTCCAGCACTTGCTCGCAGCAAAGCGAAGTCTGGGATCCTGGGTCCAACAGAGCCACCACATCTCTTTCTCCCTTCGGTCCATGTATCCTTACTGACACCAGCTGAAGCAATGTGTCTGTGTCCTCCTTGAGCGCCGCTCCGACGATCGGACTCTCTGTCTCTGTCTGAGATCCTTGCTCCGTCAAGCTCCCTGCGTGCATTGGAGCGCTTCTGTTCTGATGCAGGAGTCTGTTGTGAGTCGCCTTGCAGCCGTTTATGTCACAACGTTTTGCAGATCTGCACACGGCCATAAAATGTCCTTTGCGCAGACATGCCCAACAGAGTCGCTCCCTCTTCACCTCTTCCAGCCTTTCAACGTGAGTCTTTGCCTTGAAAGCGACACAGTCTTCCACTCTGTGGTCCTTCTTACACACAGTACATGGTTGTCGCTTTCGGTTCTGTTCCTGCGGAGAAGCAGATGTGACCAGCGTTCTGCGCGCGGATGCTTCCTTTGTGCTTCCAACATGCTTCTTTCTTTCTGGGTCTCGGCTTTGAGATGTGGTACATCTTAGAATATCCACTTGCGTCTTCAGCCACTCGCTGAATGACTCGAGGTCTGGACGGCTGGGCTGTTTTCTGTACACCTCCTTCCCCCATTGGAACGTGAGTTCAGCTGGCAATCTGGAAACGACGCGACGTAGAGTATCACTTGAAGTCAGGTCACCATCGAAGCCAAGAGTTCGCAGCGCCATGACGGAGTTGCTTATGGCCGTGCTGAACTTCTCCATAGATGCCAGATTGTCAATGGATGGAGCAGGAGCGGAAAACATGGAGTTTAAGTAAGACTGGCTGATGTCATCCTCGCAACCAAAGCGTTGGTGCAATATGATCAAGGCTTGGCAATACGACCCACCGTCAAACAGAAGTCCATCAATTGCTTGCTGGGCGGCTCCCCCTACCGCCTGTTGCAGATGAGTCATCTTTTCCACATCTGAAAGTGACGCTTGGTCGTGGACCAACGCTTTGAAAAGGCTTATCCAGCGAGGCCATTCTCCCGGGGCTCCTGTAAACTGTGGCAAACTGAGACGCGGTATGCTCTTCGTGAAGGCTGACGATTCTCGTACAAATTGCTCCCGACGATCTCCTCCATCTGAATTCACCCAAGTGCTTGGGTCCAAAGCACTGCAACGTCCGCCTCCCGTCTTTTCCCTGGCGTCTCTGGAATCGTTTCGTGTCACATTGTCGGCTAAAGTTTCTGGCATGCTGTCCTTCCCTCGGTCAAACTGGCTCGTTTGGCATTCTGGAGTCTCCATGGATCGACCCAGATCGACATTTCGCTTCGCTTGTGTGAATACAGGTGCGGTGTCTGGTGCAGTGTCCGTTCCCGTCTGCGTCATGCCATCTTTACCATTCATTTCTGATCTTCCCATGTTAGCGGCCACAGGCTCGTCAAAGTCGTTGCGTCGCTCCCAACTCAAATCATCTTCAGCCGCACGACAGAGGCGAACTTTATGAGCTGCTCGATCTCTCGCGTCTTCCGCTATTTTCAACTGAAGACTGACTTCACGTTCTTCTAACTCCATCTCCTCCTGTCTTCTACGTTTCTCCATATCCAGTTGCTCCTGCTGTCTACGTTCTTCCATCTTTAGACGTTCCAGTCTGATCCGGTGCTCCTCTTCAAACTGCACTCTCATGTCCTGCAGCTTCCGGTCAGCGTCATCAAGCTCCACAGCTGCCTCTTTCGACCGTGCTGACACAACGGTCTCCTTCGAGGCACGTGATGCCGCTCGACTGAGACTTCGACGTGATGCACTCGCCAATGACTGGGTTTCTTTCAGATGCTGGAGATACTGCTGTACCTTTCCTCTGATTATACTTTCCTCTTCTTCCAGACGATCGGCATACTCGTGTGCTTCCTCGAGCTCTTGATCCACAACCAGAGCTTCGTAAAGCTGGTGAATCCTTCTCAAGTCGCCAAAAGCGTCCTTTAGCCTCCCATGTAGATCTTGAATGTCGTCACGACTCGCGTGTCTCTCTATTTCTATCTCTAAAAACTTGCGGATGCGAGTTACAGATGCCCTCTTGGTGCCACGCTGCCGACGCAGACCAACCAGCTCCTCACTTGTGGTGGAGGATTGTGCTTGTGCTCCAGCTTTGTTGAAGCCCTCCGGTTCCACGCTGCCTCCTTCCTTTTCATTTCCCATTCTGTCTTTCGCTGTTGCAAATCACTGGCACTTGATCCGGCCCGGCAGGACCAAGAAATGTCGCCGCGATGTCCTCTGGTTTTATTCACATTCGCTCGCGACACTGATGTGTTTGAGTAGGGCCGACCAGAATAGATAGCCAGGCTTTAACAGGATGGCGAGGAAATCAACGGTCACTACCCGATTCAGTCCCTTGATGGCAAGGCAACTGAATACAGGCAGATCCCTAGGATACTCCGGTGCCTTGCTGGCAAGGTACACCGGAGCTGACGGATTGCCCCCCTAGTATGAGGAATCCCGCACCCCGCGTCTCGAGGGCGAGACACGGGAAACGAGTATAAGCCAAGGCGCTCGGTGGCGAGTCACCTTGGCAGCATTCCTCACACACCCCGGAAAGGCAGTAGATGAGAATAAGCCCCAGGTAAAGGAATCAAGGAATATACTGATATTGTCCACAGACGGCTGGCTTGCACCTCGATTCAGCACTCACTCTTTCACTTCGTCACTCGCTCACCAACACCAATTTTCCACTGCTCTCGGTGTATATTTCCACAGATCCTCTTGCGACCAAATCCCGAGCCAGACTGCGTCACACATGTCGCCCCGGCCCGACATCACCTCGCCAGTGCCCGGGGCGAGGGTCACCAGCGACCAACCACCGGGGCGCTTACTCAGCGCCAGCTCGGCGCAGACACGGCCCCGGGCACCACGTGGCCCGGGCGTCTCCCGGGACCACGCTTGCGTCATCATGCAGCGGCTGGTGCCAACAACTGCATATACGACATCCCGTGCAGCTGCGGCAGGTCATACAAGGGCGAGACTGGCCGCCCACTGGCGGTCAGGCTCGAAGAACACAGGAAGGCCACCATCCGAGGCGAAACACTGAAATCCGGTGTGGCGGAGCATGCATGCATGGTCTGAAGGAGATCACAGACCTGCTTGGGATGATACCACCATCATCGACAAGGAGCCACACTGGAAAATCAGAAAAATCAAGGAAGCCGCACACATGGCGCTGGCTAGCAACCCCATCAGCAAGCCAAGCGTTGACATCAGCCCAATATGGCTCCCACTACTAAGGAAATCACAAAAACATCTGGGGGATAAATGACACCAAGTTTCCAGCTCCATAACGATGTCTGCCTCGATAGTGGAGTGGTTAGAACCGTGGACTATCACCGGGGAAACCCGAGTTCGATTCCCGCTGACTACAGGAGCTTTCGAACGGTATGACGCGTACGGCGCAACGCCACCAACATCCAGGTCCTTCTAAGGGCCAAAGAACACCTGACGACGGCCGGAGAAGTAACTGGCCGAAACGTTGTGAAACTAACATCTCAACTCAAGACGGGGACGAAAGTCCGACAACTAACATCAGTGATACTAACACCTCGTCTCAAGCATTCAGAAGAACTATAACTGTTTTACGTGTTTTTAAAGTACCTATACATCGTTTATCTCTGTGTTCATATTTACTGTTTGTTCAGCTATTCTGGTTTACCTTGTATCATGATTTCTTTCCCACCTTACATGGGATTTTAAAACTTATGCTCAGTGGTCGTTCACACATTTTTTTCTTCATATTTTCACTTCATTGCCTATTTCATTATATTGTTCATTGTTTTCTATTTTAGTTACATGTGTATCTGCGTTTTTATCCCGGCGTGTGTATGCTGCCTGTGTGTGCCATATTTATTGTTTTTAGTCTTGTGACTCCGTCTTTTAGTGGGCCAAGTGCCTGTTGACGGTCTGTTGAATAAATACAAATACAAATACAAATACAGAAAAACTGGTAGGAAAAAAACGGGGTAAAATCATCGTTAAAAGCTCAGCCATACTTTGGTTATCAAATTAAAATATTTTCCGGTCGTCGATGTTTCTGGTGGGACGTTTCAGATGAGTTTAAATAAAAATGACGAGTTTCTTATCCAAAACGTGTGTGTTTGGGCCCTCTCTGATTAAAAGCGATGCACATTAGGATGATGCACCTTTTTTATCCTGAATCGACATTCCTTTTTCAATTGATTGCCGTTTTCCCATAGTGAATCGCTCAACTGTGCACAGCATGGCGGTTAAAAATGTGTCGCAACTCATATTTCCTATTTGCGCCTGACATGGTCGCAAATGCCTCAAGTAAGGGAAAGAAAGGGGAAAAGAGAGAAATGAAAATGAGGTGTTGCTGAAGCTTGCAATGTGTGGCAGGGGACGCCAAATGTCGTCACCGACTGCGGGGGTGCCGAATTCAGCGCGGACCTCGAATATCATACGAGATAGCCCGCAAAATTTGGGTTTCCGCCTTCTTTTCGCCTTCGGTGCATCGCGTGATCAGTTTTTACTTACGTAAATGTGTTGGATAAATGTTCCTGTTCGAGTGATTGAGTGCTTTGCGTATAGGTTACCTTTTCAAGATCATACAGGGTGTCTCACAAAAAGTGTACATATTTGTTTTGTAAATAGCTCCGTAAGTTAAAAACATACGTAAAAAACACAAATATCGCTGGAAAGCACAAAGCTTGCAAATTTATTCGCATATCATTTGCACGTCTTCATATTCACATACCGAATCAGTTTCCCATACTCTAGCTATGCGCTCATTTTTTTAGATGCTCAAAATGACAGCCTTTGCGCTCAGCGCACGTGGTGGCGCGCCTCATGGTCTCCTGAGCTACACGGGCGCATGTCTCCATGGTTATCCCGCGTATGGCTCCTCTGATGGCCTTTTTGAGCTCGTCTAGCGTGTGCGGCGCCTTCACGTACACGACATCCTTCAGATACCCCCATAGATAGAAATCCATGGGGGTGAGGTCGGGTGAGTGGGGTGGCCAGCTGTGGGGGGCCCGCCTGGAGATCAGCCGGCTTCCCAGGCGCTCGGTCAGCCAGGCCAGCGTGGCTCTTGACGTGTGCGCTGGAGCGCCGTCCTGCTGGAACCATTGCAGGCAGATGGTGTCCGCGCACTTGCTGTTGAGAGACCGCCAAAAGCGCTTCAACACTTCCAGATAACGGTCTGAAGTCACCGTCACTGCTTCTCCGTCACCGTCTTCAAAGAAGATCGGTCCGATTATGCCCTGGGCGCTAAGCGCGCACCAGACCGTCACTTTTGGAGAATGTAATGGGACTTCCAAAGTCTTCTCTGGCGGGTGTTTGCCCCAGTGTCTGTGGTTTTGACGATTAGGTAAGCCGTGAAGGTAAAAGTGTGCCTCGTCCATGGTGTGTCAAAAGTGGAAATAGCCGGTGCGCCGTCTGGCAACCCGGTAGCCCGCCGCCATAGGGAAATTCATGCTTTTTGTCGCTTTTTCGCTCCTTATGAGTCACTTGATCTTATTAGAGCTTAACTAGGAACGAGGCGGGTCACTTGGACGTATTCGGGAGCCGAATACGGTGTTTTGGAGCCAATACATGGGAAACCCTACCCGCCCAATGCGAGTTTTTAAGAGTCTGCATGCCCAAATTAACGTTGAGCGCGGCCGTTTTCGGTCGGTTTTCCGCGACCTTGTGGCGAAATCGCCTTATTTATTCAACCAGGGTGGGCTAATTCGCTTAACTAGGAATGAGGCGTTGAAGAGAATTATTCAAGGAATAGAGCTGTGCAAAAATATTTTTTGTATTGTTAAAACTGTATCCGCCCTCGAACGATAATTATTGTTGACCCATCAGAAACACATCGCCTGGAATGCGTTTGGACTTGGCTGGATCTAATATTAGCGAGTATCTGCTAATGCAGTTTCTTGGCTTACACAGTACGCACACAAGCATACATACTTCCTGCCCTTAGTTATTCCTCACTTGAATGAAAATTTTGCTATAATAACTATTCCAAGCAGTTAACAGGTTTTAGTGCAGTGCCAAGTCGGAACCGTTCAGCGCCGCCAGTCTCCCAGGCGGCGCGTAGCGGCCGCCGCCGGCCGCCGCGCCGCCGCTCTGGCAGGGTGTTTGACTTCATATCTCTGTTGCTAGAAAAGTTGTGGACCGATTTACTTGATTCTTGCATGAAAAGATTCGCCATTCAATTCTTAGCAGATAACGAAAATTTGACGTCAATTGCACGATCCGCTGCCCATATTGTGGTACTGCCATCTATTGACAAGGCTGGCGAACTAAGGCCGGGCGGCTATTTCCACTTTTGACACACCATGTCGGACCACCAAATGTTGCCGATGAAACTGGGGCAAGACGAGCACTTTCCTAAAAACCAACGGCAAAACTCCAACCGTTGTAGGCAATCAGACTTGGAAAGCTCTTGAGATGTTGATAGTCTGTATGCCTTAAGCTTCAGGTCCTTCCTAAGAATCCGATGCGTGGAACAGCGGCTGAGTCCAACTTGTTGCGCAAGGTGCCGCACGGACACTCCAGGCTTTTCCTCAACTCGCCGAATGACTTGTCCGATTTTCAAAGGTGTTCGGGCAGTTATCTTGCGGCCGCTGTTTCCAGTGTTTTGATTTCCGACTGTTCCGTGAGCCAAGAAATGTTCAGTAAGCCGTTTTATTGTGTTTGCCGGCGGTTTCTCTCTTATTGTAGGGAAATGAGCCCTAAATTTCCTCTGAGTCAATACCAGGGAACCGGTTTGAAGGTAAAATTTCACGATTATTTTCCTTTCCTCTTCACTTAACTGTCTCATGACTCTCACTAACAAATTGTATGTCAAATAAATTTGCACGAGCTAAGCTTCAATTTAAGCCTGAATTTGACGTGAGCGCGTGCTTATATGCTGAAATATCTTCATTTTAAATGTGTACACTTTTTGTGAGACACCCTGTATTTCATCTTTTCAGGCGTCGCATGTTTTGCCATTTTCAATATGGGGAAACCCATAGACTTATTAGCGACCCTTTCCGGTCGCTAATCGGGAAGAATTCCCTATTAGCGTTTTTTGCAATGGTTTGCCAAAATGCTCACTACAAATAAGTTAGTGAATATTGGGGCAGAAAATGACTATATTTTAATAGAAAAATGAGCGATCTCTCCGAAAATCAAGCCCGTAATACAGTGGCACCCACAGAGCGTGAGCAATTACGGTTCAAATTAAGGGGGTCGCTAATTAGGCACCTTACCCTACTATAAATATGTAAGGGAGAGTGGGGCAAAGCGGCCACCCTAACGCTTCTCACGATGCCAACGCTTGATTTTTAAACTTGGAAAGATTCTTTCTATACTAATGTGATCCCTATATTAAGTTGCCTTTTATTTCAACTGCATTTTATTTCCAAAGGCGTTCACATATGGAAGATATTGACAAAACTTTAAACCTATGCATATTGGCCACTTTGCCCCATACCCTGGGGCAAAGCGGCCACCGGCGTCTTCTCAAGTCCCGATATGAGAAACAACATAGTTGCCTCATGTACGACTAGGGTTTTGATGGTGACAAGGTTTAAGCGAGGATGGATGTTTACTTTATCATCTTCCACCTGTAGGTAAACAAAGAAAAGATTTTCATGAAAAAAACATTTAATTGCATTATTTGGTAACTGGTAAGTTTTTTATCCAGATGGAAACAACTTATGGCCAATAGGGGTGGCCACTTTGCCCCGGCCACTTTGCCCCGCGCATACCGTCCGAGACAAAAATATTCCAGCTTGGGGCCCAGCCCAGGAACATTTTTCAAGTTGGGGTGCAAGACCGAAATACCTGACATGACGCATATGAAATAGCAGCGTAGTCAGGGGGTCCCAGTTTTCCAGTCTCTGCTGCAAAAACGGTGGTGAATCCACCGTCGTCCGACGGTTTCGATGACGCCAATCATCGGCGAGTGTTGCTGTGATGGCCGACCTGACTGAGCGCACAGCGGCAGCCGCCGTCGCCAATAACGACAGTGAGGACACCTCCGAGTCGGACGGAGACGCCGCCGCTGACGACTTCACCGTGCTGGACGAGGGAGGTGGAGCGCTCGAGCCGACAGGCCGTGCACCGCGTGCGCTGCCCGACTGGCTGGCGCACCCGCAGCCGATTGGCGACCGGCGCGGTGGCCGGCGCCGGCCAATCTGCCGGCGCTCTGCCCCGAGCTGCGCGCCCGGCTGGCCGCCAAGGGCATCGAACAGGTGTTCCTGGTGCAGGTGACGGTGCTGCCCGAGCTGCTGGCGGCCGCAGAGTCGCCGCTACCACCGGCCGACCTCTGCGTCTCGGCGTCGGCCGGCCGCGGTAAGACGCTGGCGTTCGTGCTGCCGCTGGTGCAAGCGCGGCGCACTGTAGGCCGGCAGCCTGAAAAAGCGCTAGAAATTCCCCCAAACTGACTGTCCGCAATATGAACAAAATAGGTATCATTTAATCCCGAATTGATCGAAGAATACGATTCCGATGCTAGTTTTGCCCTAAGGTCAAAATTGAGGTCGTCAGTTGTCATCAAACACAAGACAATTTAGGCTCTCTATAGGCCACCACATTTACCGATTTTAATGATGAACTTTAGTGGTAATTTTTTAGTTGACCAATCGTCGTTTTGAACGAAATTTGCTGTCAGACTAGTTCAGGGCACTGTTGTTCACTGTGCCAACATCATTCTGACATATTGCATCGCTTTTCTGCAAGATAAGCTAGCTGTTTGCAAGCAGCTGCAAGACGTAATTTAAAATCATATCCAATTTTTTAATTAGACTTTTATAAAAACGTTATTTAGGGCGGCTAAAAATGAACTTTTTATACTAGCCTCTGATTACTCATCTTTTGTTCCATATAGGTGCTTTGCTGCTTTTCCCTGCTACTTTTCGAGATATGCGCCAGTAAACCACATGATGTAGGGGCAATTGTCACCTCGCCGCTCTACTGAAGGCTCGGCGCTCTTTAAAACGCTGGAAGTTGTGAAAAACAAACGCTTATAATCTAAATAAAATATATGTCCCTGAGCTCAGAATTGATCAACGCACACAATGCTGTCAACATTTCTGGGCCAAACTAAAAAATTCAGTCATTATTAACCCCTAAACACAAGTCAGTGATAATCAACAACAACTTGCTCTTTAGGTAGACTTTTTGAGAAATGTTATTTCGAGCCGCTAAAAATGGCCATGCCATACAAACCACCAATCATCTTTCTGTCATGCCCTACTCGCAATTTTTGCTAATGCCTGCTACTCTTCGAGGTCACGTGACCTCACCATTAAAAGTGAATGGGGAAATAAGGAAACTGTTGTTTTTGCGCATGGAATGATTTCAAACTATCTCAAGCACACGGAATCGTGATTTCGTGCACTCCTTGCAAGATCCGATGCTTTACTTTTGCATTTTTGACCTTCCGTGACGTCATTTATGACGTCACACCGGTCATAGGAGTTTCTCGTCAATAACTCATGATCAAATTGAGCCAGCGACTCGGGAAAGTCACCAATGGACTCGGGAAGACCTCCCGAATCGAATGATATGCGATACGACCTCCTTCGATTAAGTTCGTGGCCTGATGGGCTCTGAACTGACCTTGACTCGAGGTCAATACCTTAAGTTGACCTCACCCGAACAAAAAGTATACCATTCGACGCACCTGAGCCAGGCGAACACGATGGTGCCAAAATCGCTGCTCTGCGGCCATTTTTTTGCGAAATTATTTGCCAAAAACAAAACTCTACCTTGGGCTTTTTGACTTCACCTCAGAGGTTACCGGTTGACCTTGGGCCTTAAAATCGGGTATCAATCGTTCCGCCTTGAAACGGCGCACACGCTTGTTTTTTCCGCGAGGCTCTAGCTCCATTAGGGGCGAAACGGCAAAAAGGGGTCGTACAAACCCTCCCCCCCCTCGGCCGGCCGAGGGGGTGGGGGGTCCGACAATAGGTCCGGCGAGGGTTAAGCAGCCCCACTTCGTTTTTAGCATGTTTGCTTGTCACTGAGATCAACAACTCAATCACAAATAATTTCTAGCACTTTTCCGGACCCCCGGCCCAGTGTGCGGCGCCGCGGTGCGCCGGCCGCCGGGTGCGCGCGCTAGCTGTGCTACCCACACAGGCGCTGCCCGCTCAGGTGCCCGCCGTGTTCCGCCAGTACGACGCCGACACGCCGCTCTGCGTCCGGCTGCTGGGTGGAGACACAGTGGCACGAGGGGGCACCAACTGGTGGCGGTGGGGCCGTGCGGCCCGGTCTCCCTGGCTGATCGTGGTGAGCACTCCCGGCTGGCTGTTGGATCACATAACCAGCGCCGAGGGCTTCTCGCTAGCGCACCTGCGCTACCTGGTGATCGACGAAGCCGACCGGGTGATCGAGCTGGCCTAGACGGGCTGGCTGAAAGCGGTGGAGCGGGTGGCGGCGGCCGCGGCCCGCCGCCCTGCATCGCCGGCCGGCTGACGGCCGCCGCCGTCTGCGCGCCTCACCTGCCGCTGCAGAAGCTGCCCGTTCTTGGCCACCCCGTCACAGAGCCCGGAGGCCGGAGAAGCTGGAGCGAATGTCGCTGTTCCAGCCGCGACTGCTGGTGGCCGGCACGGCGGCCGCCGCCGTCGCACTGCCCGGTCAGTTCGTCGGCAGGTTCACCACGCCGGCCGAGCTGAGCGAGTCGTTCAACGTGGTGGCGCCGCAGCCGCTGAAGCCGCTGCTGATGCACAATTTGCTCCGACAGCCCGACTGGCGGCGCTCGCTAGTGTTGGTCAACTGAAACGAGGCGGCGCACCAGCTGGAGCTACCGCTGTCGGTGCTGGGCGCGCGCGAGGCCGAGTTCCCTGGGGCAGTGCCGGCGGGCCAGCGGCGGCGCGCGCTAGCTGAGATGGTCGCGTTGGTGTGCTCGAGGCTATGGCGCGCGGTATTGACGTGGACGCCGTGGACGCGGTCGTGTCGTACGACATCCCGGCGCTGTTGAAGGCACAGTGCGTGCGTCGGACGGCGCGCGTCAGCCGGGCTGGCCAGGCGATCACGCTAATGTTTGAGCGGCAGCGCAGCCATTTCCAGCGGCTGATGGCGCAGGCGGGCAAGGCAGACGGCCGGGTGCGGGAGACGCCGGTGCCGCTGTACGAGCTGCGCCAGTACGAGGCGACCTACGTCAGTGGATTTCCACACTAGCTTCTAGTTGATCGCTTTTTTCACCTTTTTTACGCTCATCGCTCATGATTTATTTACATTTTAGAAATATTACAATGAATAGGTGTTTACCTTGTCATCAGCCTAGAAAAGTTAAAGTAAGTAAGGTGTTTTTAGTTGCATATTTGTTCATGAACACGGATTTAACGTGTCCTAACTCCCAAATACTTCGATATTAGACCCGAGTTTTGCAAACCAGTCGAAAGGCTTAAAAGAACGATCATTTGGTTGGGGCGTAGCCAGACGGCTCGACTGGGCGTGGACCCCGGCGAAAAGGTGGTCACCACGCGATCATCATGTAAAGCGGTCTCTGTCGGACGATTGTGTCCGTGCGCAACGAATGATCTCGGCACACGTGGATGAGTTCGGCAGGACTCTCCACTGAGCGGTGCTGGGCGCAGTCGAACGACGGTCGACGAAGCTAGCGCAGGTATTGTTACGAGCCGGACCAGTGCACAGTGGGGATTTTTCCGATCTAGCGCCTCTTAATTCAAAAAATCTTTTTTGGATTTTTGTTTATTTTTTGTGTCATTGGGGCTAGAAATGTCTGAATGTTTCATATATGGCATTGTTTTATCTGTATGTCCACAGCAAGACTAGGAAAAATGCGCCCAAAGTTAACACTCATGCGTGATTATTCAATGGGCTCAGTAAGGCCCGAAAGTATAGCTCAATTTCATTGTCCTATCCTGTTGGTTTTAATCTTGCGAGGTCTTAAAGTTGCATATCTTCTGAAAGGCACCTTTATTGGGAATGGAATGGCAAACAGAAAGTATGCCACAACCTTACTGTATCGTGAAGTTTAGTTCACGATGTGCGCAATTCGAAAGTTCCATGTCATTTACCCGCGTGATTTTATTTGCGATGTTTACTATGTCAAATTTGAAATCTGTGCGCATATTTATTTGGATATCATTGAAACTTTGACTTTTGTTGGAATCTTGATCAGTTTTTTGTTTGTTTTGTTTATTTTATTGAAGAGAAAATTGCATCTATAGACTTTCGGCGCACTGTAGTAAGTACGATCTTCAAATGTATGTCAAATTTATTGTATTACCTCTCAGTTATCTAAACCGTGCGACCTGTGAAGCTGGACATGCAATGATTGTTGTTTCTGTTTCAGGATGAAATTTTACTACAAATTATATGTCTCAGTGCAAAGTCTCGTTTTGTTGAGTTAGCATTACATTTCATCTACAAGCCATAACGTAATTTGAGGCACCTTTGCTGTTTTAGTAAGAACTAAGAATTAAATGGACACAAGAACTAAGAAAATGAACCTGGAAGAGGAAGAAAATTACGAATCGATCAAACGACAACGAGCGAACGCAAAGCGTAAGTTTACACGAAAATGTAACGCGTTTCAGGAACTAAGTCACAATAAAGAACATATTTTGGTGATAAAGGAGAAATTTGAAGATATTCGAGAGATATATAAAGAAATTGATAAGTGTAATGATCGACTATTGCATGTTATAAATAGAACTGCTTCGCACGGTACAATGAACAATCTTCTGGATGAGGCCGACACATATATGACAGAAATTGACTCTGTATTAGATCAAATGAGAAGCATATATGCCGAGCAATTACCAGAAAACGGGAGTCATCGATCTTCGGAAATCCAAGTAAAACCCCTAGACTCCCCACGGTTCTCAGGCAACCTTCGCGAATACTCTAGTTTTCGTCATGACTTTCTTCGCTTAATGGCCAGTAAATATGGCAAGGATGCCTATGCATTACGTTCCTGCCTATTTGGTTCTGCTCTGGACACGGTTAAAGGAGTTGAGGACAACTTCGACGAGATGCTTTACCGTTTGGACAAGGCCTTCGGAGACCCCAGAAAATTTGTTGACACTGTTATACAAGACCTTAAAATATTGAAACCCATCGCAGAGGGAGATACCAAACAGTTTATATCCATGGTGAATGTCATCGAACGGTCCTGGTTAGATCTAAAGAGGATGGGATTATCAAATGAAATGAACACGGTGACAATCGTAAGCATGATAGAAAGATTACTACCTCCTACACAAAAACGAGAATGGATTTTGAAAACAGATTTAAAGGATTTTACTTCCAAGGAAACAATATTTGAAAATCTTTTGCAATATCTTCTCCAAGAAAAACGCGTCATTGAGTACATGGAGCACGACGTGCGCATTTCTGGCAAACATCGCTACGTGAATCAAACCGTGGGTAACTCCTCTAACAATACAGAATTCACCAAGGGATTATGTCTAGAAGAAGCGAATTGTACACCTGAACGTCGAATATGGAACGAAATCGAGCGAGTGTCCAACCGTTTGGAACATCTCGCTCAAGTCACTAATATTTCAAAGAATTTTCCTACTCAAAATGATACTCGCTTGGAACCAAACCAATGGTGTTGGGTACTTAAAACCTCTGGACACGCCATCGCTTCATGTGATCATTTTGCAAAGATGACACATGACGAAAAATTATTGGCCATGCGAAAAGTAGGAGCATGTTTCAACTGCCTACAAACCGGACATATAGCTAAAGATTGCACAGAAAATCCTAGATGCACAGCAATGTCGTCGGGAAAGGTATGCGGAAAACGGCATCACCCCCTTCTACATCGACAGAGCAACACAGAAAACAAGCGGATCGCAATCTACAACGCCCAAATGAAAGATAATCCGGCACTTCTGGCCATAAGTACTATTCTCTGTAACGATCAACTGGTTACAGTGCTGTGGGACTCCGGAGCTAATATTTCGCTAATTACACATTCTGCAGCAAAACGGTTAAATCTACCTGGAAGTAACACGGACTTATCCATCGTTAAAGTTGGAAATCAACCTGCCATACTCAATAGCAAAAAGTACACCGTTCCTCTAATCGACTTGGACAAAAATGTCTGGAATATTGACGCATACGGAAATCGGAATGGACGAAATTACGACTGACCTACAAAACATTGATGAAAAATACATTACCAAGTATTTTCCCGAAATTAATATCATTGACTATCGAAGACCAACGGGAAAAGTTGACATCCTTATTGGTGTTGACTGTTGCGCTATAATGCCAAATGTCGTAAGAACGGTTGACAACGCGCAACTTCTAAGAAATCAGTTTGGATATTGTATAAGGGGCATTTTCCCAGGAGCGAACGAAAGATCCGAACAAGATATGAGCACAGAAATACGCGCGAATACATTGCTCATACGCACAGACGACATCCAAACGAGTACCCCGACCGAGAACGCTATCGAGAAGTTCTTCAAGTGTGAAAATTTAGGCATCAGTTGTCACCCACAATGCGGAGGATGTCGGTGTGGAAATTGTTCCATGGGCATGAAAGGATATACTTTGAAGGAAGAAAGGGAATTAGCTTTGATTAAGGCCGGTCTCAAATACAACGAAGAAGAACAAATATTCGAAATTGCCTATCCGTGGATAAAAGGACCAGAAAATCTTCCCAACAACATAAGAGCAGCGAAAGCGAAACTACGATCGACCGAATCACGACTCAATAAACTGGATACCGAACGACAGCGAGCATACAGAGAGCAAATGAAAGATATGGAGCGCAGAAAGGTGGCAAGGAAATTATCACAAGAGGAGGTCCACTGTTACACAGGGCCTGTCCATTATCTTCATCATCATGAAATAATAAAAGGTGACTCGTCAACAACTCCAGTTAGAATCGTGTTCAATTCTTCAGCATCATATATGGGGCATGCGTTAAACGATTATTGGGCAAAAGGACCCGATTTTGTCAACAGCCTCTATGGTATCCTGATCAGATTTAGAGAATACCCAGTGGCGATAGCTACGGACATTTCAAAGATGTATAACTCGATTCGACTGTCATCAAGAGATCAGCACGTTCATCGTTATCTCTGGCGTGATCTGCAAACTGACCAAGAGCCCCACCATTACGCTCTTACCGCCGTGCCTTTTGGAGACCGTCCTAGTGGCACGATCGCTATGGTGGCCCTTCACACAATAGCCGACATGAACATGAAGCAATATCCAGAAGCAGCGAGAATGATCAAAGAAAATAGTTATGTTGATGACTTGCTACAATCGGTCACAAATAGCAGCGAGGCATTGGCTTTAGCCTCTGACGTCCAAATCATCCTTGCTAAGGGAAACTTCAACATAAAGCATTGGGTTTTCTCGGGCGACAAAAAGGAAAACGCAAGCCAAAATGTATTGATCATGAAAACAAAACGTGTGAAAATCCTAGGAATGTTTTGGGAAACGCAAGATGATAACTTCGTATTCGAAATGAGGCTAAACTTTTCCCAGAAACGAGACAAAATGGACTTTGCACAAAACGTGATGAAAAGTGATTCGGAACTGAAAATCCCTGAAATTTTGACAAGGAAGCTTTTACTCAGACAAGTCGCAATGATTTATGATCCAATTGGCCTCATTGTCCCATTTACACTGAAAGGAAAATTACTCATGAGAGAGCTGGTCATCAATGCTTCGCCGGAACATGGAGGACAAGGACAGAGCACCTGGGACGAGTCTGTCTCGGAAAGCTGCAGAGAAGACTGGATCCCATTTCTAATTGACATATTCAAGCTGGAGCTTTTGCGCTTTCCTAGATGCGTTAAACCTCCTCATGCCATCGGACAACCGACGTTAGTCATTTTTTCGGACGCTAGCTCTCGAGCGTACGGAGCTTGCGCATACGTTCATTGGGAAATAGAAACGGGGAACCCTGGTGACTGCAAATCCTTTCTCGTATCTGCCAAGAACAAGATCGCTCCAACGCGTCAATTGAGCATTCCCCGCCTCGAACTTTGCGCCGCCGTTTTGGGCTGCCGGCTTGGCGAAACAATACAAAAGGAGATGACTTATCAATTCGCCGAAACTGTATATATTGTAGATTCAATCATTGTTAGATCCCAAATACAGAAGGAATCGTACGGTTTTGGGACATTTGTAGCTACCCGGATAGCTGAGATCCAAGAGAAAACGTCTCCGTCTCAATGGTGGTGGACAAACGGCAGCAACAATCCCGCAGATATGGTGACAAGACCTGCAAGACCAGAAGAATTGGATACAGGAACTATTTGGCAAAACGGGCCTTCCTTTTTAGAAGGCGTTAAAGAAACGTGGCCAATAAGCCAGAAACCCTACGAGGACGACCTGCCAGATCGCGTGGCAGTCAATATGACTCTCCTGGCAAACCATTCCAGCCGTGACATTTGTAATGACTTGCGGATTGACGACTTCAGTAATTACGACAAGCTTCTTAGAGTTACGGCCAGACTTCTAAGGGCTGCAGAAGAAAGGACACTTAGCGTCATTGGTCTACCCCCAGAAGCAGATCAAATCGAAAAGGCCGAAACATTTTGGATCAAACTCGTCCAACAGGAATTTTCTCGAAACTGGGAAATACGGTTCAAAAGATTAGGACCGAGTATCACTGATCAAGGCATACTTACAGTCGGGAAACGCATTTCCAAGTGGCTGAAGCAGAACTGGAACCAAGACTGTTTTGTACTTCTACCGAACAACCACCCCTTCACAACCTTATTGATACAGAAGCTACACAAACAAAATCACGGTGGTGTTGAAACTACTCTCGCTCGCCTACAGACAAAATTCTGGGTGCCCGGAGCCCGACGAATCATCAAGAAGATTAACAAACAATGCGTCATCTGCAGAAAGTTACTTGGTCAAACCCATGGTCAGGTAATGGGTCAACTTACTCCTGAAAGGCTGCAGCCGTCTCCTCCATTCTACAACACAGCCTTGGACATGTTCGGACCATTTCTTATCAGAGACACGATCAAGCGTCGAACAAAGGCAAAAGTCTACGGCGTATTATTTACCTGCCTGGCTTCCAGAGCAGTATACATAGACTTGGTTTCAGGATACAGCACGCAGGATTTTCTACTGGCGTTCCGTCGGTTCGTCACTCTTCGCGGCTATCCAGCTACATTATACTCGGACGCTGGGTCTCAACTAGTGGCCGCCAGCAAAGAGCTACGCGACATGATACACAAGTGGGATTTAGACGATTTGTCCAATGCAGGAGCGAATCATGGCCTCAAGTGGACTTTCACAAAATCTTCGGATGCGCCGTGGCAGAATGGCTGTAGCGAATCTCTCATACGTCTGATCAAGCGGGCCATCACTATCGCTATTGGAGACAGCGTTTTGACCTTCGGTGAATTACAGACGGTTCTGTTTGAAGCAGCAAATTTATTGAACGAACGACCGATCGGCAGAAAGCCCGGCGCTGACCCCATAGCCGGCGTCTACCTATCCCCTAACGACTTGCTGCTCGGACGAACTCAAATCGCCCCGCCACAGGGAAGGTGGGCCGACAATTCGCGACT